CTTTGCCCCCAATGGTCCTCCCCTCCCCCCACCACCCCGAGCCAGGCTTCTGGTCATTTGAGCACAGTGGCCCAGTGCAGAAAGCATACAGCCCTTGCTGACTTGGAGAGGCCTGAGTCTTCCTGTTTATCAAATGGGGTACAAACACTTGTCCTGCCTTCTTTGCAGGGTAGTTGGGGAATTTGCAGGCTAGTTGATGGAGGCAGAGGGGGATGTTGGCTTCTTCTGCTGCCCCCACCTCCATTCAAAAAGCTGTCTGTGACTTTTCCAGGACTCATAATCCCACATTTCCCCCAAATGACCCATGAACTCAACACTGTGATTTGTCTTAAGAACCATGGTTGGGTCATAAAACTTAGACCTTAGCAGGTACCAGGCCCTTGAATTCAGAGAATGAAACTAAACCCAGGGTAGGCCCTGGTCACAACCAACCAGCCACTTGGTTGCCAAAGGGGGCACAGGCTTTCTTGGAGCCAGGGCTGAGCCCACATGTGAGGCATGCTCCCCTCCCGCCCATAGCTGATCTTGGTGGGTAGGAGGATGTGTCCCTTCAGCCCAGCAAGTTTTCACCTAGTGGGCCAGGGAGGCAAGGATGGGGAGCAGGAGATGACCCAGGGAAGTAGAGAGAAGCAATATACAGTGTTTTGTAAAGCAGGAGGTTCTCAAGGAGGTCAGGGATGTGGTCCTGGAGGGCTGAAGCTGGTGATGGGGCCCAGAAGCCCTGCGCTGTGGCCCGGCCCTGCTTCTCCTTCCTTGGGCCAGTGGCGCAGCCCGTCTGGGCTCCGTGATTGTTCAGATCCTCTCCTTTCCAACTTGACCTCTGGGGTATGGGTTGCAAAGGGCAGAGAGGCTGCACCCTCATTCCTGGGTCACACATGGGCCCTCCCTCCTCTTTCTCAGCCAGGTGTGTGGGGTAGGAGAGGGTGTGAGGTGGGCCCGGCAATGCAGGGTGGGGTGCAGGGTGGGAGAATGTGGCTGGGTCCCCAATCTGGGGTTGGCCTGGCTCCTGCCCGGTGCCTGGGCCTCCCTGGCTGCCTGACTCAGGCATTCCCTGCTGGGTGCCCACATTCCTACCATTCTTAGAGCCTGCCTCAATGCCCACTTTCAAAGAGCTCCTTGAGGTTAGCATTCAAGGCCTGTCAGGTCAGTGAGTCAGGTTGGAAGGCTGTCCCTGCCCGGGCCAGACTGCGGGCCCTGTCCCTTGTTGCTGCCTTCAAGGACAACATCATCCCCTGTGTTCCATCCTCTACTCCCACCCTCTTCTTAGGCTGCCCCCCTCTTTCATTAGCAACAAGGATGTGGAGACAGTGGGGACCCGAAGGTGACAGCACCCAGAGTGAAGGAGAGGAGGAACGATACACCTCCAGGCCAGCCTGCTTTAGGAAAACCCACCCTATGTAGGTCCAGACTCGCTCCAGCCATTAGGCCACTGGGACGGTGGTGGGAGGGTGGCGGCCATGAGAGCAATCAGGTCTGATTCTTTCCAGTGGCATCTTGCATCCCACACCCAGCCATCTTCTTGACCCTCCTCTCTGGCTGGGGCTGGGCCCTGCGGCTCCTGCCCCTGTGAGAAGGCTGAGGCCATGGAGTCCGGCTGGGCGCAGGGCAGCTTGAGTGTGCTCTTCCTCGGTCCAGAAGGAGCAAGGGTTGGCTCAGAATCACATGGGGGTAGGAGTGGGGGTCTTGTGCCTTGGCCCACCTTTGGGGCCATGCCCTCCCCATGGGCCCCTAGCCCCCTCCCCTGCCTGAACCCCTGGTTATTCTGGGAGCTTTTAGCTACCACTTAGTCAGCCACTAATGCGTCAGGCTGGGGAGTGAGGGGGGAGACATGGTGCCAGACGGTGCTCCTTTTAGACATCCAGGGTGGGAAGCAGAGGGGGCTGGTCAGGCAGGGAGAGCAGGGGGGTTGCTGGAGGAGGGGAGGCTCTCTCTCGATCCTAGCCCTGCCTGGAGGGAGGGGGGGCAGCGCTGCAGACTGATGGGCAGTATCCTTGGGCTCCCTGCCCCATCCCACTAGGGCTGTTAGGTCTAGGTACTCCCCATTCAGTCAGGTCCCCACCTTGGCTCAGCTTTTGCCCTTGTCTGGTATTCTTTTCCTGCCTGTTCCTGACCCATCTGGCTTTGATCTGCCTCCCCCAGCCCTTTGGATTCATTGGGAAGCAAAAAGACGCATTTAAGGAGGTGACACTTGCTCACCCGCCTGGGCTTTTTTAGGGGCAAGCTCTGGCCTTGCTCAGCCCTGGCCTGGGCAGAGCCTTGAAGGCCGCCCCCTCCCTGACCCAGCTCTCTGTGATGGTGCCACGGGGCCATGGGTCCTGGCTGGGAAGGCTTGGTGCTGCCTTCACTTCCAGGCAGCCCTCCTGCCCCTGAGCCCCCCAGCCCCCGCTCCTGCAACCTGAACAAAGCTTCCTTTCATGTATTCATCGAGCTGCTGCCGCTCAGACACTTCCCCGGCACAATCAGGCCCTTTGAGGGCCTTGGGCAGTTTGGGAGCCAGGCTGGGGTTGGGGTGGAGAATGGGCCAAGGCCTGGTCCTGGGGCTGAACTGGTGCTGTCCTACCCATACACATCACCAGGCACAGAGTGGGAAGGGGCGGGAGCCTGGGGGTCAAGGGAGGCAATGCTTCCTGGCCCCTGTTTGTTCTTCTGCAAAATGGGGCGAACTGTTCCTGCTTCACCCACCCCTGGCTGCTGTAGCCAGGATTTGAAGGGCATGGGACTCATGCCTTGCAGATCTGAGTGGGACCGTCCTGGGCCCGGTGTGGTAGCCTGCCATGCTGTACCCCAGCCGCGGGCAGCTCTCACCCTCTCTCCTTTGTGTCCTCAAAGATCCTTTGTGAGCAGCCCTGAGTTCTGCCCCAGGACAGTCCTGCATGCGATTCGGGGAGGCTTGCTTCCGGGTGGCTGTCTCACTCTGTCTGGATTTCAGTGTAGGGCTGGATCTCTTCCCCTCACACCTGGCTCTCCAGGGCCAGGCCGAACATTTCCCATTAGGCTTGACTCACCAGGGCAGGACTGCCACCGCCAGACAGGAGCTGTCCCCGGGGCCCGCTCTGGTGCCTCTTTCCCCACTACCAGAGCTGTGGTTGGCCTTGAGGGGTAGTCTTCTGGGGGCTTCAATTCTCAGGCCCCAGCCCATCTCCAGATGCAGACATGCAGGCTTTCCTGGCCATGGCTGGCTAGGGGAGTGGAAGGGGGAGCAGCCGCAGACTGTCTGGATCCCTGGCTGGCTGCCAGTGAAAGGGGAGCCGGGCACCCCACCTGGAAAGGCGGGGGAGCCCGGGCGCCGAGACCTGCCAGCCATGCTGTCCCCGAGCCTTGGCCAGCACCCCCCACCCCCAACCCAGGGCAGAGCTGGGCTCTCAGCACTGGCTTGTGCAGCTGGGGCTGAGGGGGTGAGCCTGGGGGACAGTGAGGCATCACGCTGAGCTGCCCAGGCTGTGTGTGGAGCGCTCCAGGAGAGCCAGGGGAACCCGAGGGCAGTGAGCTCAGCACTTCTCTGTGGCTGGCATCTCTGAGCACCGATACTATGAGCCAGTCTGCCTTCCCTCCTAGCGTGACCTTGGGCTAGCGTGTCCCCCTTCCCCCCTCCCCCCCGAGGGCCTTGAGTTTCGGCCTCTGTGCTGTGAGCCAAGCCACAGTGGCAGTGAAGACTGAGAATATCCCACTTCCAGGACTGACCTGACTGTGTGGGGCGGTAGCCTAAGGGAAGGGAAGGTGGCTGCGGGTCACAAGGTGTGCCCCCCGTTGAATGCAGAATCAGTAGGGATGGCTCAGATGGCCGGAGAGGGCCCGGGGCAGACGCGAGGAAATGGCAGCCCTCTTCCCAGTGGGCTGGGCTGTGTCCTGCTTCAGTGTCCCTGGGGAGCTGGCTGCCCCCCGAACTCACTGCAGCTGAATAAACAGTGGTCTGGCCGAATTCTGGGGTGAGCCCCAAGCTGGTCAGGGGTGGAAGACACTAGCTGGGGCTGCTTGCGGTGGGGGAGGCCCAGCCACAAGCCGTCCCATCTCTGTAATTTAGTCCTTCAACCGGGCTGACCTCAGCAATGTTACCGGAGATGAGACATCTTCTCCCTGAGGTAGTGGCTACAGACTGTTTCTTTTTTGGGCAAAATTGCCCTGGTCAGCCCTTCTGCTTAAAGGTCCAGGCTATGCTCTGTGAAGGGCTCCCTGTCCCAGAGTTGCTGCGGAGGGAGGGCTGATCTTCCCCCGCCGGGGCCAGCCAGCACCCTGTGAAACCAGCCCAGAGCAGGCCAGGCTACCGGGTGCAGCTGGGGGTCTGTGGCGTGGGATGTCATTCAGCACCTGCTACTGACCCTGTGACCTTGGGCTGCCGCCTCCTTCTGGACTTCCATTTTCCCATCTGTAAAAAGGGGGAGGAGTGGATACTCAGATACCTTTCTAGCTCTGATTCAAGCTGGCCTGCTCACTAAGGGGCTGGGTGGGCCAGGAGGGGTTGGAGAGGGCTTCCCAAAGGGGGGGTTGGGGTTCTGACCAAAGCAATCCCTCGGAACCTTAACTCTAAGTGGGCTGCTTTGAGGCCCTGCTACCCGCGGGAGACAGAGGTGGCCGCTGGCTCTGTCCTGGCAGTGGTGAGCCTCACAGACCAAAGCCAGGGAGCCCTGGTTGAGTCCTGAAGCCTGAGCCCAGCTTCTTAGGAGTAGCCAACTGTGTGCGGTATGTGTGTATGTGTGTGTGTGTATGTTGGGTGGGGGTGGAGGGTTCTGTTTTCTCCAGGGGGGCCCCGAAATCCTGCCCTCATCCAGAGGTTACACATATTGTAGGATAGGGGTCATGGCTCTGGGCCAGGGACAGCTGGTTGCTGAACCCCAGCAGGGGACCCTTCACTTCTCCCACTCAGGGCTCTGAGTCCTGGTGCTGCCCTAGTCCAGACCCCAAACACTAGTTGTCAGGCAGGTGCTGATATGCCTAGGGGGGTGGGTAGGTTCTTCCTGCCCAGGGCCCAGCCTCAACGTTTCTGCCAATTGCCTCCTCCTCAGGCCACGCAGGACAGGACTGGGTTGACTTCGGCCTGGCAGAGCCTCACACGGTGCTTTTCCATGAGCCCGGCAGCTCCTCCGTGTGGGTGGGTGGACGTGGCAAGGTCTATCTCTTCGACTTCCCCGAGGGCAAGAATGCCTCTGTGCGCACGGTGAGCCTAGACCCCTCTGCCTGAATCCCTCTGCTGGCCCCAGGAACAGAGCCTGAGCCCCTCCCTCTCTCCTTCCTCCCCCCACTTCTCTCCTTATCTCCCCTCTGGGCTCTCAGGGAATCCATGGGAGTTAGCGCTCTTCCTAAACTGGTCCACCCCCTATTATATCCCATAATATAATTATATCCCATAATATAGTCCCTGGAAGAGGCTCCCTGAAGGTAATCCAGATTGGCGTGGGTGTTGGGGCAGCATGGAGAAAGGCCTAGAGCTAGTCCCCCAGGCCAAGTGGGTAGTGCTGCTGCAGGAGACCCTGACAGGAAGCTGGGCTCCAGAACCCCATGGCCCCTATCCTCTGAAATTTCTGGGCTGGCTCTGGGCTTTGGCTCTGGGTATCAGGCCAAACAGCCTGTGATCTTGGGTAAATCACTCAGTCTCTCAGAGCCCTCATCTATAAAATGAACTCATCCTGAGGATGCATGGAAAGCACTTACAGGCATCTCGCCTTGACAGAGTGGACTAATGCTCTCCCCTCCCCCCCAGGTGAACATTGGCTCCACGAAGGGGTCCTGCCTGGACAAGCGGGTGAGTGGGGCAGAGGTAATACAGAGGGGAGGCTGACTCCCTTGGAAAAGGGATGGGAGTCCCTGAGAGTCTGAGGAAGGAGGCATGGCCCTGTCTTGGGAGCCATAGTCTGGGAGGAGAGAGGTAATCTTGCCTCAGGATTCCCAGTTCTGAGGGGGAGACATGGTCCTTCTCCAAGGCCTCTCTGCTCTTACTCTGTTCTTGGGGGGTTGGAGTCAACGGCACCCCCTCTGGGCTCTCCTTTTGGAGGGTACCTCCTATACTCAGACTTCTGATGCCTCCTTCCCCAAGACTGAGGGTCCTAGTGCTAGGCCTGCCAGGGCCTCCAGCCAACCTGTCTCTTTCCCCTTCTCACTGGCAGGACTGCGAGAACTACATCACGCTTTTGGAGAGGCAGGGTGAGGGGCTGCTCATCTGCGGCACCAATGCTCGGCGCCCCAGCTGCTGGAGCCTGGTGAGAGGACCCCTCCCTGTGGACCTGGTCAGCTCAGGCTTGTCTGGGTGGGCTTCTCCCTGGTGGGAAGGAGCTGGGGGGACTCTGAGGCTGGCCTCACTTTGTATAGAATCCCTGGAAGGAGGGGGACCCTGGCTGGGAAGCTGGCACCCATGGGAGGCAGTGGCCATGGTGTCACATGGGTGTCTGACCCTCCTTGGTGTCCCCCAGCTGAATGGCACCGTGGAGTCGCTTGGCGAGAGGAGAGGCTATGCCCCCTTCAGCCCGGATGAGAACTCGCTGGTTCTGTTTGATGGTAAGGCTGCTGCCTTGGGCTGGGGGAGGGCGGTCAGCTCTGTGTCCAGTGGCCCAGGTGTGGAGGAGGGACTTCCAGGAGCTGTCTGCCCTTACCCATGGCCCTTCCCCCATGCCCAGGGGACGAGGTGTACTCCACAATCCGGAAGCAGGAATACAACGGGAAGATCCCCCGGTTCCGCCGCATCCAGGGCGAGATCGAGCTGTACACCAGTGATACCGTCATGCAGAGTAAATCAGACTCTGGCTGGGCTGGAGGGGCAGGAGGGGTGTGAATGCCCAGGGCTGTGGGTGGGGTCCCCCTCTTCCCTGGGAGGGCTCCCGAAGGGCCACTGGGGCCACAGCCCACTCAAGAAACGAGGAGGTTGACCTGTAAGGGAGCAGGGGAACAACAGAGACAACAGCGTGCCGGCAGGGTGGGCCCTGTAGACTCCGGGAGCAAAACGGAGGAAGCCGCAGACCCAGCGGGGGCTCCCCGAGAGCCAGAGCGTATCCCCCTGCTGAACTCATGTGGGGGCAACACCTCTTCCCTCCTCATTAGGGCTCTGCCAATTAGGCAGAGGTGACATAGGGGCCCCCAGGGACCTCCCCCCAGTCCCCAGGCATGAAGTCATTGCTCTTGGGCCGATGACATCTTCGTAGGAGAGGGCAAAACAGGTGTGGGGTGGGGGTGCAGTCTCAGGCCCCTTGGGCTATCAGACCTGATGTTCTTGAGTTTTTTTCTAGGTCTGATTTGCCCTGGGTGTGTTTGTAGAGACTCGGGGGGTAGGGTGTGTGCTCACATGCACACAGAGTGGGTGCACACAGGGTGGTTGCACAAAGGGTGGGTCCTCTGAGCAGACTCCCAGCCTCACACCCATTTGCCTGTGTCTCTGGCAGACCCCCAGTTCATCAAGGCTACCATTGTGCACCAAGACCAGGCCTATGATGACAAGATCTACTACTTCTTCCGGGAGGACAATCCTGACAAGAACCCCGAGGCCCCTCTCAACGTGTCCCGCGTGGCCCAGCTGTGCAGGGTGAGTGGGTGGCTGAGTGGGCAAGAGTGTGTGTCCGTGCCTGCGCAGGATTGAGCAAATGTGTGAAAACACACTTGGGTCAGGTGTCATATGTGTTTGCATGAAGGAGCGTGTGAGATGTGTGAGTGCGTCTGGGTGTGGGATTGTGGGAGCAAATGTGTGTGCGCAGGAGGGTCCGTGCATCTGTGAGGGGGCGAAGGTGGGGGGGCTCGGGTGCATGTGTGGCGGTGTGCACAGGTGTGACTTCATGTGGAACGTGTTTGCGTTCGTGAGTGTGGAAGCGCATTTACATGTGTTTGTTTCAGCTGACTGAAGGCGCTGGGATGTGCATCTGTGGCACGTGTGTGAGTGTGTATGCATGGGCTGAGCTGGTCTGCTCTATGGGGACCTGGAGCCTGCGGGTCCCCACTGCTGGCCCTGTGTCCTGGATTAGCCAGGCCTGCGGCAGGAGCCCGGCCCCAGCACCCAGCCCGACAGGATAGGCGCCTGTGCCTTGGCACCTGGCAGGCCGTGGCCCCTTTCAGAGCTTCCGTGCCGGCTCCAAAGCCCGGGTGCCGGCACTCCTGGCAGCCAGGGCAGGGACTGAGGGGCCTCTTCCTCCTCACCCTCTCAGGGGGACCAGGGTGGCGAGAGCTCCCTGTCAGTCTCCAAGTGGAACACCTTCCTGAAGGCCATGCTGGTGTGCAGCGACGTGGCCTCGAACAAGAACTTCAACAGGCTGCAGGACGTCTTTCTGCTCCCCGACCCCAACGGCCAGTGGAGGGACACTCGGGTCTATGGCGTTTTCTCCAACCCTTGGTGAGTGACCTTCGCCGGGGCCAGGGCCGGGGCCAGTGAAGTGGCCAGTGGGGCTCAGAAGGCTGGGGCCCTGCTGAGGAGAAGGCTCATGTGGCATGAGTGGACAGGGCTGTTGCTGGGCGTGGGGTGGGGGATAGTCCGTGCTCAGGGAGATGCGAGCGCTGGAGTGTTTGTGAGTCTGTGCACACGGGTGTGCGTGCACTTGCCATATGCGTGCTGAAGGCTGCAGCTGTGCCTGTGTGTCCATCGGCTGTGTGCTCAGAGTGGGTGCTGGGGCGCCAGGAAGAGGCGGCTGAGGCCTCCTAGGGTGCTGGGTGCTATCACACCTGCTCAAGCACGGCCTGCTGCTGATCATTCACGCCTCTTAATCACTCTTGTTGATTGAAAACAAGGCAGGTGTTGGTTGGGTGTGTGCGGGGAGAGCTGGGTGGCAGGGTGGGGAGGCCAAGCCCCTGCTCTGTTGCTCCTGTGTGGGTAGACCCAGCCTGGCTGCGAAGGGGACGGGAGTCTGGCCTCCTCGGGCCTCAGCAGGCTGCAGCTGGGTCCAGAGAGGTGGAAGTGCCAGCTAGAATGCACACACTGGGATTTCTCTGGCCCCAGGGTTGGCCTCTGAACTCAGTGATTCTGTGGCAAAACACAGGTTGGGGTTTTCAATTGCAGCAGAAAGAAATGTGGTTGAACTTGCCTCTCTCCCTTCCCCCTTCCCTCCCTCCCTCTTTCCCTCCTTCCTTCCCCCCTGCTGTCCCTCCCTTCTTCCTTCATTGGTGTTTTGATCATCTTAGGCACTTGGCTTGACCGGAGGGGTAGTCCCTGCCCTCACAGAGTTCACAGGCCGGGGTAGGGGGTGGGGTGGGGGGGGGGCTTGGTTATGTCCCTGTCTGGTGCTGGGCTGGCCTGGGTGAGTGGGGTGGGGGTCCCGGGCCCCCCACTGAGGTGGTCTCTGTGTCCCCCAGGAACTACTCGGCTGTCTGTGTGTACTCGCTTGGGGACATTGACAAGGTCTTCCGTACTTCCTCACTCAAGGGCTACCATACAAGCCTTCCCAACCCTCGGCCTGGCAAGGTAAGCTGACCCCCCACCATAGCCCAGGCCTCAGCCCCACCTCCCAGCCATGCCACTAACCTGGACCTCTCCTCCTTGCCCAGTGTCTCCCAGACCGGCAGCCCATCCCCACGGAGACCTTCCAGGTGGCTGACAGTCACCCTGAGGTGGCACAGAGGGTAGAGCCCATGGGGCCTTCGAAGACGCCACTGTTCCACTCAAAGTACCACTACCAGAAAGTGGTTGTCCACCGCATGCAGGCCAGCCGTGGGGACACCTTCCACGTGCTTTACCTAACGACAGGTGAGGGGCTACCCCAGGATCTTCTGGCCTGCTTTGTAAAAATGGATGTGAAAGGCATATAGAATAATATAACATCTGGTTGGATCTTTATACCTGGAAGGAAGAATTGATTGACCGAGAGCTGTCAGGGGATAGTATGTGTAGCTGTGGAAGAGTCAGGCTGGGAGGGCTTCTTGGGGGAGGTGGGGGCAGAGGGAAGAGGAGAGGGTATCCCAGGATGGGAGAAGAGCAAGCGTGAGGATTCAGAGGCAGAAATGTAGCAAGTCTGAGCAAAGCTGGGTGTAGCTTTGGTCCAGATGTCTGACCCAGGGAAGATGGTAGGAAGAAAAGTGGACAGTCAGGAGGAAGGACCGGGTCACTGCTATCCTGAGGGCCTCTGCCAGGCAGAATGAGGAAATCAGACCCTCTCCCTGTCTGTGGGAGTATGCAGGTGAGGGGAAACATTTGATGGGGGGATGCGAAGAATTTAGTGAGACGTGAGGAAGGACTTCCAGACAGCAGAGCCTTTGCAGAGACTTTTTAAAAAAAATATTTTATTTATTTACTTAAGAGAGAGAGAGAATAAGAGAGCACAAGCAGGGGGAGCGGCAGAGGGAGAGGGAGAAGCAGGCTCCCCGCTGAGCAGGGAGCTGGATGTGGGACTCAATCCCAGGCCTTGAGATCATGACCTGAGCTGAAGGCAGACGTTTAACCCAGGCGTCCCCCTTTGCAGAGTCTTGTAGAGGACCAAAGAGGGGGCTTCCATGGGGTCAGGGGTTTTGCTGACTCCAGAAGCTGGGGGGAATGCCCTGGGAGATACCCCTGTATTCTGGGAAGCCACCAGCCATGGAGAAGCCAGACCTGAGCTGAGTTTTCGGCAACTTCTTGGTCCCAGGCTGTGGGCAAGGGGTCCCTGGGAGCAGGCATGGAGGTCAGTGTTGGTGGGGGCCACAGGCCTTCCTTGAGATGGAGTGGTGGTGCCGTGAGAAAGAGCACTGTCTCCCCAGGGGCCTCAGGCACCTACCCTAAGTACCTCCCCTGCTATGTGGCTTCCTGCTATTGCTTCACCTTGTGGCTTTCTCAGGGCCGTGGTGACCTTCGTGGTTGTTTGACTCCTGGAAGCCTCGGGAGAGGAATTCCCCAAGGGGTCTGGCTTCTGGGTCCTGAGACCTCACTTTACTCCTCCATTCATCCTGGCTGTACCCATGGGCCCCTGTCCTTGCTCTGCTCAGCCGTGGCTGGCCTAGCTGCTGTGGTCAGCCGGGGGGACGGTAGGGCATTGGGGTGCGGGAGAGGAAGGGCCACACAGTACAGGACTGAGAGCAGGAGACAGGGGCCGTGGGCTCCCCTCACGCAGACCTGGGAGGCAAGCGCACTTGAATGATGAGGCAGTTGTCCTGGTTTATCCGTGAGGGCCATTGGAGAGGTACCATTTTGGAGCCTGCAGCAGGAAGGATTGGGGTCAGATAAGAAATAGAACTTTCTGAGCCCTCTGCAGAGAGTGGGAGGCTCTCACACCTGGGAGAAGCTATGGGAGGCCCTCATGGGGCTGCCGTGGAGGCGGCGGAGGGCCGCATGTGTGTGTGGGCGTGAAGGCAGCGGCGAGGCTGGGGGCTTGTCAGGACAAGGGAGCGTCTGGTCGCATCTCAGAGCCTGCAGAGGGGGAGCATAGACACATAGAGGAAAGTCCTAGGTGGGTGATCATCTGATCATCTGACTGCTTTTTTGGGGCAAGTGATGCCCTGGGAAATTGGGAAGGAGGGAGAGGGAGGTAGGCTATTCTAGAAACTGGGACAGTGGGTGAGGTGGGAATGGGAGGGCCCAGAGGTCAGAATGCCCATTAGTCCCCCACACGTATGAATGGAGACAGCATGGCCTTGGAGGCAGGCAGCCTGCTTCTGACCTTGGGAATCTCTATGTGGCATCTAAGGTCCTTTTCAGATCAAAGATTTTATAAAAATTAAAAAATCCCCGAAGATTAAGTGCAATGTGGAGTCCTAGATTGGCTCCTGGAACAGACAAAGGACATTAGTGGAAAAACCCAAGAAATCCAAATAAAGTCTGTCATTGGGATAATAGTAATGTCCCAGTGTCAATTGCTTCATTGTGACCATGTACCACAGTTATGTAAGATAGTAACGTTGGGGGAAACTGGGTAAAGGGTATTCGGGAACTCTGTACTATCTTTACAACTTTTCTGTAAAGCTAAAAATATTCCAAAATGAAAAGTTTATTTAAAGCAAACATCCCTGAAGAGTCCAGGAAGCAGGGAAATCATAGAAGGAGCTGAGGGTTGGGGTTCTGACGTCTCTGGGTTCCGGTCACCAGCTGTGTGACCTTGAGCTAAATTGCTCAGCCTTTCTGAGCCTCATTTCCTCGTCCCGGAATTGGGAAGATAATACCCACCTCTTAAAGAGTGTGGAGGATTCCTCAAATTACTGTTTTCTGTTAATAAATTGCCTTTGTGTGAGCTAAAAAAAAGAGTGTGGAGGATTAAACAGTGCACAAGGCTAACACACAGAGGCTCCACAAAGTACTGAGGACAGCCGGTTCTGTTCTTCATGCCCCAGCTGCCCCTGCGGCCTTGGGGAGCCATGGGCCTCCTTGGATGGCCTCTGTGGCCCAGCCTCCGAAGCTCCCTGGGTCACCCTCAGGCTCCCACGTCCCTCTCCAGCCGTACTCTCCTCACCCCACCCCACCCCAGTCCTGTGACCCTCGCCTGAGCCCTGACTGCCCAGCCCTCCTCCACGTCGGCCCTGCCTGGAGGGAGGCTGCCCGGCGCTGTGGTGGAGCTCCCACCCACCGGCCCGCTGCCCCTCTGCCCCTCGCCCACAGACAGGGGCACCATCCACAAGGTGGTGGAGTCAGAGGAGCGGGAACGCAGCCTTGTCTTCAACATCATGGAGATCCAGCCCTTTCACCACCCGGCCACCATCCAGGCCATGTCGCTGGACACCGAGCGGGTGAGCCTCCCCACCCCGCTGCAACCCATGGGGCTACCCGTTGCTGGAGGACAGAGCTCCTTTGCCTGTGATTTGCATGTCCTTTAAGAACCTTGGGCCCCAGGGCCTGCCAAGGCAGGGCTGGCCTGGTAACTTAGAACACAGTGTTGGGGCTGTGGGCCCTGGCCTGACCTGAGTCCTGCTCTCCTTCCAGCGGAAGCTGTATGTGAGTTCCCAGTGGGAGGTGAGCCAGGTGCCCCTGGACTTGTGTGAGGTCTATGGCGGGGGCTGCCACGGCTGCCTCATGGCCCGAGACCCCTACTGCGGCTGGGACCAGGGCCGCTGTGTCTCCATCTACAGCTCCCAAGGGTATGTTGGCCTGGATCCCTCGTCCCTGGGAGCAGGTGAACATAGGAGTGGGGGTGGTGTCGGTGGGCTGCACGCCCTCCCTGGGGAGGGGGGCACGGATGCTGATCCCGGGTGGGGGTGAGGACAGGGAAGGGGCCAGACCCCTGGCCTCCTGTCCGCTTAGCCTCTCTCTGCCTTCCAACTCCAGACCAGTGCTGCAGTCCATTAATCCAGAAGAGCCACACACAGAGTGTCCCAATCCCAAACCAGGTACCCGATTTGGCCCTGCTGGGGCCCTGTCCGCTGAGGGTGGTAGAGCCTTGTCTGAGGGAGACATGGCCTGGTCCTGGGGGCCTCAGGCGGATGGGGCAGGACAGTCCTGCGGAGGGGGCCCCCTTCGGTATGGGCTGGTTGTGGAGAGGGGAATGGTGAGGGAGGCAGGGGAGAGTCAGGAAGAGGTAGGGCACTGTGTTCATTTATAAGCGTTGGCCTGGGCAGCCTGGTCAGCAGGGGAGAATGTAGCCTGCCTTGGGAGCCCTCGGCCCCCTCCTCACCACTGCCTCCCCCACCCCGCTCCAGACAAAGCCCCACTGCAGAAGGTTTCCCTTGCTCGGAACTCTCGTTACTACCTGAGCTGCCCCATGGAGTCCCGTCATGCCACCTACTCATGGCGCCACGAGGAGAATGTGGAGCAGAGCTGCGAGCCGGGCCACCAGAGCCCCAACTGCATCCTGTTCATCGAAAACCTCACGGCCCGCCAGTATGGCCACTACCACTGCGAGGCCCAGGAGGGCTCCTACTTCCGCGAGGCTCAGCACTGGGAGCTACTGCCCGAGGACGGCGCCACGGCCGAGCACTTGCTGGGCCGCGCCCGGGCCCTGGCCACCTCCCTCTGGCTGGGCGTCCTGCCCACGCTCGCTCTTGGCCCGCTGGTCCACTAGGGCCTCCTGCGGCTGGGCATGGCGCGGGTTCCTGCAGCCTCAGGGGCACCGGGAGTCTCCCACCCAGAGCTGGCCGGGCCTGGCGAGCTCCCTGCCCGCTGCCCCTTCCGGGGGCCTGCATAACCCGATGAAGGACACCAGGCCTGGAGATGGCCAGCCGCGGGCGGCTGCTGGGCCTGTGTGGGGCACGGGGGCTGGGGGCCGCGGGAGGAAGGCGCTGTTGTGAAGCTGGGGCATTGATGACTTCAGACTTGATCTTCTGGAGACTACTTTTCGAACACCCCTCCTCAAACTTGACTAAATGCAGTGATGTTCCCAGCCTAAGAGCCCATGGGCCAGAGAATGGGGTTTGGAGAGGGAAGCTGGGACCCTGGCTTTGGAACTTGGGGCCAAGGCCTGAGTCCTTCAGGACTCCCCATACCCCAGCTGCCCCCTCCCCCTCCTTCCTGCCGTGGCCGTGGCCGTGGCCGGGGGTGGCCGCTGTTCCTATAGGCCCAGGGCTGCCTTCTGCGACTCCCTCACCAGCCCTGGGGCCCAGCAGGCAGCGGCCTTGCATGTTTATTGAAGGACGTTTGCTTTCCGGACAGAAGGACGGAAAAAGCTCTATTTTTATGTTAGGCTTATTTCATGTATAGCTAATTCTGACTGCATCTGTATGAAAATACCAAAACTACATGCTGGGGGTGGGGCGGGACAGGGAGGGACTGGGGAAGACAGGGGCTGGGGTGGGGGGTCCCAGTCTGAGGCTCCGGGGACGGGGTAAGAGTCTGGGGACAGGCATGGGTTCACGGAGAGTGGCATGAGCTGGCTCTGCCCTGGGATCCCAGTCTGAGGGGAACATGGTCCCAGTGCCCTGGTATGGGGGGCAGTTATGGGAGGGGGGTAGGGTGAGGGAGACAGGGGAGAATGAAGGAGAAACTGAGCCCTAGGTTTGCCACATTCACATAGAAGGAGGAGCCGGGTCCTCAGGGGGAGGTTCCAGGACTCTGCCCTTGGCATTGGGGGTTGGGGGGTGGGGGGGTCCCCTCCCCTCCCCTCAGCCCCCTTCCCCAGGGGCTGTGCTTCCATGCTCCTAGTCTCCCACCTTCAGCTCAGGACATGTTATAACTTAGGCTAAACTGTGAATTCCGGTGGGGACAGCCTGGGCCAAGCTCTCTAGGTGCATGGCTCTGCCCCCAGCCCTGTCCATGGATTTCAGCAGAGAGCCGGGCCCTTCTCTGGCTGTGTCTGGCCAGCCCAGGGCAGGGCCTGGGGCCGGCGGCCTTCCAGCTTTGGCCCCTGCATCTCTTCTCAATGCACTTTAATAATGTAACATATTACTAATAAACAAACTATTTATTTACCTGTGCCTGCTCCTTGCCTGCAAAGCCATCCTGGTTAGGGGAGGAGGGTGGGGGGGGCTCCTGTTTAGTGCCTCCTGCCTGTGTGAGCATCACACACACTTACTGTCTCTGTCCTTGGAGCCCAGGAAGCACTCAGTAGAGCTCCTAGCTAATGAGAGGCAGGGATGGGATCCAAACCCACGTCTCCTGAGCAGTACACTGCCTGCCAAGCTGCTGTACCCAGGCAGCTTCTGCACTCCACGTGCTCTCCTCACACGGGAGCTGGCCTTTCTCCCAACCCCACCCCCAACCCTCCAGGCTCCACCTCCCATCACTTTCCTGAGAGGCCTGGCCTGGCCAGGCTAGAAACAGCCTCAGGTCTCCCTGCCCTCCGGGGGCCACTCCAGGAGGGAGACCCGGTGGGATAAATGTGTGGTGATTGAAGTGTGTGTGCAGGAGGCTGGAGGGCCGCCGGAGGTGCTACCCGAGTGGGGATGAGGTACTTTCTCCAGCCTGGCCTGCCAGGCAGGGCAGGAGGCTGGGTGAGGGCTGCATGCAGAGGGGATGGCTGGAGCGAGGGGGGACTGGCAGGCAGGGTGCACGGTTTGTGTGCTAGCCCCCGAGTTTGGCTTTTCAGCCCCAGGGGTGGTGGTGAGGGCCAGGGTGGGATCTGTGCCTTAGGAATTCTCGAGCTCCCTCCAAGATAAAGCTCACAGGGCTCAGAACCCAGAAGGATGGCTGAGAAGGGTACCGAGGCTGGGATGGGAAGTAGGGAGGGCAGTTAGGAGGATGTTCAGAGGGGTAGTGGGCCGGACGAGGGCAGGACCAGGAATGGGGGCCCCCAGAGGGAGGGAGGCAGAGAAGAAAGAACCTGGAGGCCTCCCGGGGGCCTCGCCTCCCCTTTGTTCCTTTCTCACCTGTGGTAGGGGCCCAGGCCCTTTGGGGTTTGTGGAAGATTGTCCTGAGCAATAACTGCTAGAAAGGGGGCCGTGGCAGATTTGGGACAGTTACCCTCTCTGAGTCTGAGCCCTGCTTCTGGGTGGCTCTGGCCGACACCCATAGAACTAGAATCATCCCCACCATGGCACACCCCCTCCCTGTCAGTCTGCCCTGTGCTTTCTTGGGCCAGCCCCCTGGCTGAAGATTCTGCCTGGTTCTTTCCTCCCCACACCCAGCCTCCCCAGGATGACCAAGGCAACAGCAGGTGCTTGGGGCCGGGAGTCTGGGAGTCTGGGGGGACCCGGAAGAGCTCTGGGCTGGGGGCAGAGACGTGGGTCCGCCGTTACCCTTGTGATCTGGGCAGACCCCGCCTTCCCCGAGACTCATTCTCCTCATGTGTGCACAGTTCTGGGCTTTAAGTCCAACTTCCTTTGTCTTGGGGTACCTCAGAGTCTATGTCTTGGCCTTGTCTCTTTTCCGAGCTCACAGCCAAGCAGCAGTAGCAGAAGAGCTCACCCCTCAGGAAGCCAACCTGCCCCACGGTGGGGGGAAGGCAGGAAGGAGTGGGGTTTAGGAGCAGCTAGTGGGGAAAGTGTGGGCTCAAGCCCCCCTCCCCCCACCGGATTGCTGGGTGACCTCCAACAAGGTCCCTGCTCTCTCTGGACTTCAGCAGTCTCCCTCTTTCCCGGCGGGATGCTCTTGGTACCCGGATGGGCCTCTGGGAGAAGACTCGAGGGACAGAACACACTCCTTTGTCTCTACAGAGGCGCCCGCAGAGGCTGGGCAGGAGGAAGCCAAGTGCATCGACGCATGAAACGAGCCCCTGTAAATCCATGTAAATGAGCCGGTGGGGAGAGGTCAGGCCGGCCACAAGCCTCCTGGCCTGTCCCCCCACCCCCCACCGTGGACAAGAAGCACAGTGGGCCTCGGATGGCAGTGGACCATTAGGACCCTTTGGCCGGGCCTGGAGGCATGGTGATCCCCCATGATATCAGGACACCAACATCAGCCTCTTGGGGGTCAGGCTGGGGGCAGGAGCCAGGCCTGTCCTTCTACCTTCTTTCTTGTGCGCCACCCCGAGGGGAGGAGTGGGGTGGGTAAAATAGGGAGTTCAGACTGTTAAAGACCAAAGCTCAGCTCTGCTGGGGAAGCTAGAGGGAATGGGAGACTCTTTTATAACTCTAACTCAAAAGGGCCACTAAGGTTTACCCTGGGGGCTCCGTCTCCTGCTGTTCTAGTCTCTCTGCTACCGATGTCCTTGACCCACCATTTACAGCCCCGCATACCCCTGCCTTCTCTATCCTTGTCTCCCTCAGTCCCTACCCACCTTTGCTCTCTCCCCTGAAATGCCAAGGGTAGTGATCCCAGGCAGAGATTTCAGAACGACTTGGAATTCTTCAGAGGAGTCCTGAACCGTCCCTTCTACGAGCACCACTGATGCTCCAGCCTGCTTGGTCCTGAGCTGCCGGCTGGGGAGGGGGCAGATGGAGCCTTAGGGTGAGTCAGGCCCGGGGGTCCTCGCTAAGGAAGGCACAGCCCCCGCCCCCGAGACCCTCGAAGTCTGATAGGGGAGGCAGAGGTGGGGCTGGATGGTGATGATCCTAGGAAGACAGTACCCAACCCATGGTGTGTGTGTGGGGGTGGGGGGTGTGTGTGTGGAGGGTGTTGAGTGGGCCTTAGGGGAAAAACAGAAGTCCCTAGGGTGGAGAAGTCTCTGAAGAATGGAAGAGGGAACAGCATTTGTGAAGGTCTGGGGATGTACAAGGGCCTAGTGTCCTTGGGTTTGGCTGGAGTCGTGTGAGCTCCGGGAAGGCAGAGAGACTGTTGTCAGTTTGGGTGATGGCTGCATCTCTAGTATCTAGAACAGTGCCTGTAACACATTCTTGTTGAATTCATGGATAAAAGAGGAGAGAGTATCTGGAAATGCCATCGAATGACTCTGTCAGTGTCAGCTCCTGGGAGCTAAGGCCCTAGATCTTCACCCTGCAGGTACTAGGGAGCCGTTGAAAGATTTTGAGCAGGGGGAGGGTGATGATGACTCTAATGACGGTGAGGATGATCAGGGCTGGGTGGGGGCCTCCAGTTCCCATGTGTCACCCCTGTCTGCCTCACCCCAAGCTCACCCTCTCTCCCATCCCCAGTCATTTCCAGCTGCGTCTACGGCCCAGTTTTAGCCTCTCATTGTCTGGATGGGGCCCTCCCAGCTGGGGTTCTGGCCAGGAGGTCTGTGGGCGTGGGCGGGTAGAATGGGGCTGACATAGCTAACTCAGGCTCAGGAAACACTTTTATGTTGATATTGGTTAACTCTGGGAGGAAGAGTCCTTGGAAAGAAAACAAAAACAAAACCACATTCCCAGGGTCGCCAATGGCCACAGGCCAGCCCACACGAGAGGAAAGAGCACAAAACCACACCCGGGAAGCACTTGTCCTGCTGGTGTGCTGGTGCCCTTCTGTAGGATGGTGCCCATGCCAGGACTGCTGGGCCAGCACCTGAATAAAGTTCCCGAAGGCCTGGCCTCCCACACTGGCTGTTTATTCAGGTTGGGCCCAGTGAATGAGCTCAGAGGGCTTAGGCAGAGGTGAACACAGGCTTTGGGTTGGGCCTATAACCTATAACACGTGGGCTAATGTGGCCTGCAACTTTATCCAGCTCATGGGGCTGACTCATGCCCATAGCAGACATTACTAATCAATGGGGGCATTTCTTTCTCCTGAGCTCAGTGACTAAGAAGGCAGGGA